CGGATGAATTTCTTGGAGGTAATGAAAGTACGAGTGAAATAGTGGGGGAGCGGCGAACCTCCCCGTATTGAAAAGTGAACGTCAGCAGCGGACGCAGCTCGACGCACGCGGACCTCGTAGTTAGCATGATTTCGTGCCCGTCGATGAGTCCAGACGGGCAAGGAGACCTCCTTCCGCGGGATATCCGTTACTCGGTCCCTCTGGAGGGTCGCTTTAAAAGAAACCATGCTTAAAAAAAAAAGAAAGAACGATTTGTTCTCTTACGTTTTCTTGAGGTACACAATGGAAGAAATGATCTGCATAAAGTTGGCGAAGACATATAAAACTTAAACAGAGCTAAACTTAAACGCGTTCTTTCTCGAAATTATCTTTATCTAATTAATGACCACGATATCTGGAAAGCGACTCAATCTAGTTTATGTTTTTAGCGCTATCGTGTAACATGATTTTCAACAATGATCTTTATCGTTTTTAATGCGTGCATTTTTTTTATGTGCGAAAATCGATAATTACATATTAGGTTGTCGTCATTTTAATTAATATTTAGTAACGTCCTTTGTTCGAACAGGAGATAAACAAACGTATTAATCGAATCTTCTCGAATTGATTTCGACGGATGTTAGCGTGTTGAGAAAGAGAGATTCCGACATTGAGGGTCCAAAGTTTTGCTGCAATGAATTAGTCAACGCGGAGGTGATTCTTCGATTTCGATAATGTTCGCCGAACGTTCCCTTTCAGGCTCGTTGAAAGAAGATGGAAGAAAGCTGGATCTCGGCTCGTTAAATTTAGAAAGCTTGCAGGAATACTAATTTTACGAAACATTGGAGAATGTGTGAACAACGGCCGACCTTTGCATGGATGTCTCTACTTCCGGTAACCGTCCAACTTTTCTGCCATCGTTGCGGACTCGAGGTGTCACGTACACGCGAGTCAAAGGAATTGGGTGTAGATATATTTGTTAGATATAGAAATTAATTCTGTGCGTTTATACTTAATTTCGCGTTAGAAAATTAATTAACGATCGTTAAGGATAACGATTGTTACCGATATAGATGCGAATTATGAGAGCTCGGGAGAGTTTAATAGACCGAGAGCGTCGCGCGTTAAAATAAATCGATTGATTTCAAGCGAATCGGTTATGAACGACGAATCACCGGGCTTACGACGTACTTGCGCGCGAGTTCGACTGAAATCAACGACAAAGGCTATCCGGCAAGTTTCACCGGGAAATTTCATACTATTAGCGGAGTGTTTCTCTTTCTCCAGGATAGAACTTTCGTCAGACAAAGTCATTCGCTACTCAGCCGTGTAGGAATCGTTTCTTCTTCATTTTTATTAAAACTCACTCGCTATTTTACCGATTTTCGTGTTGCCGAAATTCTCTTTTCAAACATGCTTCGCTAATGGATTCAATATTCGAAAGTTTCAAAACAAGATTCGTCTGTTTTTAAACTCCGCTGTAAGAAGCTTTACGCAATACGAATATTTTTCATCACCGTTAAACTTTGTATACGAGAGAAAAGACCTCGAGTTGAACGTAAGGTCGACGTACTTTTAGACTTCTACATTTTGAATTGCTTCAACGTCTCTTTGACCGTGAAGACACGCTTCCGTGTTCTTTGCATATTCGTACAGCGTTATTAATCATAATCGACAAAAGCGGAAACGTTTCTTTCTCGTAAACGATCGATATATTCATCCGTTTAGTCTAGTCGCGAACCGTTTCAAGGATTTGTCGAGTCATGAATGATGGACAAATAAGCGGATCAGGAGCTGCAACATCGCAGATGGTAGACATTTCTGCAATGAATTCAAAAATACTAAGGTACAAATGACACAGTATCGAAATGTAATCCCCATCAGATATCCTAAACGTTACTTTCTTTCAATTGATTGCCTTCGTATATGACCACGTGACCCCTTAATAGCAATCGCGTACATCATCCAAAACCTGCACCGTCATCGTTCGGAACTTTCTTTCAGAACGATTAGGATATAGATATTATAATTCTAGATTTCTCTTACCTTAGAGTCACATATTTGTTCTATGACGTAAACCTTGTCGGCAGGTGAAACTGGTCAAAGCGAGCCTAATTTCGTCTCGCCTGTTTCTTCGAAAAGGAGCCTTCGATCGGGGTATCCACGAAACTTGAAAATGAGATTCGAACTGGTCGAGACGAAGGTCCAAGGTTGACCTTCTCTTTCGGAACAGTTCCATCGCGATCACCGTCCTTTCATCACAGACTTTTCAAGCGGAGCATACCCGTGAGCATACTTAGTCATACCTGCGGACCTATTTATTAACGAGTGACGTATACGTAAGACAAGAACGTTACTCGAACATATAGCAATTTTGTTTCAACTAAAAGCAATTGTTTGAAATTAAAAGAAAGTCAGGAAAGAATGAAACGATTCTCACTCGGAGAAAACGACAGTTCGACGAAGCATGCGATGACTTTACAGCTCGGAGCATAACGCGACTTCATTTCAGATTTAATAGTCTCAAGGGTATTGTTTTTGAAATTTCAGGCCACCTTTTATTCGCGAAAGAAATCGTGAATTTTGATTACCCTACTTATGCGTAGACCGACCTATAGATTTCTTCTCGACTGTACGACAAGTTTTCCTTGAAACTGTTCGTTAACCTCCGCAGTCCTAAATATCTTTTTTCTTATAGTAAAAAAAGAAAATAGTATTCATACGCCTCGTGCTGCTTGGGGATCGATAAATGTAGGTAAATTAAGGTGTTGCGTATGTTTTGACATTTAAGATGCAGGGTGCACGTGAATTTAATTCAAACACACACACACAAACAGAGATCAACTGTAGATATATGTCATTTAATACTTTTAATTAATTGTCGCCTAAATTCATTTTATAATCCTCTTCGTGCGAGTATTCGGTATTTGTCTCGAAACCATGAAACATTCTGTCAAACATGACATATCTATTCAGGAAGTACACGTGGACATACTACACACGTCTGCATTCAGTGATAACTGCTCAGCGAGCACAAATAAGTTTCATGTTTTTTTCACCGTGTCGTTTGCACGATATTGTCGTTGTCACGCAATCGCGAGAAAATTGAACGATTAAAGCGTATCGCTGGATTTCATTACGTAAAAAACAATGTTACGTCCTTCGGAAATCTTGTATACGTGTTAATAAGTCTTGCAAAAAAAAAAAAAAAAAAGTATATCAATCAAAGTTCGATCGTGTTGAAATCAACAAAGTTTGAAGTAGAATCTGAGAGAACAGCGCAATCATATGTGCCAGATACTCCCTTATGGAGGAATTTTTAAAAATATACAATTTCCTCCAGCTTTGTCGTTTTAACATTTTTGGTTGTACTCTGCTGAAAAAAAAAACACTAATATTTTGAATATTTCTCCTTGTTAAAAGTGATCGAGTATAAATAATTCAAGCGATATTGCGAGACGAAATTTTGCCTTTGTTCGAGACGAACAGCACTTTCTCTGGAGGAAGAGAGTGAAAGGAGGAAAAAGAGTTCAATACTAGAAACGAGTAGGGATTAATCAGATCAGTGATGGGGGCGGGGGGGAGGGGGACGAAGAAATATAGGGGAACATTGGAGTTAGTTTGTTGTAAAAATACTGATGTTTAGGTTCAGCGAATCTCTCTCCACCTCTTACGTGCTTTATTGATAATAAGAATCGTAGGTTCAAATTTCCACCTTTTATTGTAAAAGAAAATTGGAGGAATGGACAGAGACTAAAAATTTAGAACATATTGTAATTTTCATAGACAATAAATTTTTGGAATTGTTAACTCGATGTATATTTTAAAAGACAGTGCAATATAGAAGTCTCCTATGCACTATAATAGACTCATTCAATTCAATTCAATTCAGTGGACAGAGTCGCGATCTAGCGGAACTTTCAGAAACTAAGCAGGTTCCTACACTTGATAATCGCAAAATTCGACTGACCGTAACACCCATCGAATTTGTAGTGGACTCCATTAGGCGTAACGAGACATGTGGCTATAACCTAATCTAACCTAACCTAACCAACAAACAATAAATCCAACAATAACCAATAAACAGCAAGAAACAGTCAACGATTGATTACAACAATGGACATAATAATTGATACGGAAGGTGATTCGGAGTTGGTGACAAAAGATCGCTTAATTGAGAGCGATGACGATGATTTAGACTTCAGTAATACTGGTAATTGAATCTATTTTTTATCGTAGCGTGTATTGAGGTTAGGAACCTTTGACAGCTTATTAATGATATTTTAGGGGGTAAGGAACCGTTGCAATTTTTTGACATTGAAGATTTAACTGTAAATGACACAACGAAAAAAAGGCACCGCGATGCGAGTAAAGATATTGATCTCGAGGAATTTGAAAAAGATATGGGTTGGACGGGTGACCCGCGAAAGAAGCAACAAAACATAGCTACGTCAATTGTAACCCGTTTGGTGCGAGAATCAACAGCGGTAGACAAAATACTCGAAAAAAGCGTTATTAAACCAGGTTTTGAACAGTTAGAGGCTGTACCTCCTTATGAAGAAAGCGAAAAGCAATTGCAAATTAAAAGACGTAAAGAGCGGGCTAAGACCAAGGGCAATGATTGGTTTAATATGCGTCCTCCAGAGATGACACCAGAGATCAGACGTGATCTCCAAGTTCTGCAAATGAGATCAGCATTGGATCCAAAACATTTTTATAAGAAGAACGATCTCAAGGTACTACCGAAATACTTTCAAATTGGTAAGGTTGTTGATTCACCTTTAGATTACTATTCGAGTCGTCTGACAAAGAAAGAACGCAAGGCCACAATTGTGGATGAACTTATGGCTGATGCTGAATTTTCTAAATACAATAAACGTAAATATAAGCAGATCATAGATGAAAAGAAAAAATTGCGTTACAAAGCTCATAAGCATGCAAAGAAACTCAAAGGAAAGAAAAAATGATGTATTTTATCTGCAAATATATATTTATGACAAATAATTAACACAATTTGTGACACCTTGTAAAAATATTTATCTTTGTGGAAAGTACATAGCTTTAAAGCATTCCCCCTGTAACATTAATAGATGCACCATTGACATAAGAACTTTTGCTAGATGCTAAAAATGTTATAACTTCTGCTACTTCTGATGGTTTTCCCATTCGTCGAAGAGAAATTCTTTTTATAAACATCTGTTTCACATTGTCAGGTACAATATCTGTCATAGGTGTTTCTATAAATCCTGGCAATACGGTATTAACACGGATCCCAAATCTATAAGAAAGATACACATTTAATAGTATTATCACCTTCTACCCAAAATACTTAATTATTAGCGTAATACTTACTGTCCAAATTCTAAAGTTGCAGTCTTTGAAAGGGCTTCCACGCCAGCTTTCGACGCCGCGTAATTAGCTTGACCCATGTTTCCATTTACGCTAATAATAGAACCCACGTTAACAATTGAGCTTCCTCTATTCACGTCTGCATCAATCATTTCTTTCACTGCTGTTTGGATAACAAGAAATGTCCCTTTTAAATTTACGTCGAGTACTCGATCGAATTCATCTTCGGAAAGTTTCAATATAAATTGATCACGAGTAATACCCGCAGAATTGACCACAATAGTGGGTGGTTTGGAATATTTATTTATCACACTTTTAAATGCCTCCTTAACACTAGATAGATTCGAGACTTCTAACTGTAGCGCTAAATGGTTAGAATCTGAACAAAAAAATTACATGCGATTTAATATAATTATAGTAGTATTATAAGAATATTAATCATTTTTTATATTTAACCATTCAAAGTATCTACGGTTTCTTGAGCAGTCTGTAAATTTCTATCCGCCGCGATAACCTTGGATCCTTGTTTTGCTAAAAGACGGCATACTTCTCTACCTATACCACTTCCAGCACCTGAAAGTAAAGTGTGATTACAATATGTGATATTTACAATGCACTTTGTGTTTCAATGGTTTCGTCTATTCTTTAAGTACACACCTGTTACAAAAGCTATTTTTCCAGCTACCATCTTTGTTGCTTAACAGACTATTGTACCACATCAACAAATAAATTACGTAATGGAATATTCGGTAGGTATTGAAGAAATTTGTTTTGCCGATTGGCGAATCATGTTTGAAAATTTCAAATACTTTTTTTTTTAAACTGCTGCCGGATTTACGCGCAGCAAGTAGTACGTACGCGGGCATTGGACCAATTGAGATGGATTTCTGTTGCCCAGGTAACCGTACCATATGCTGCTGACGTCAAAGCACGTCTGCAGTGACGTCAGAAACGCAACGCGAGTAGTAGCTATGTTTACAGAAAAATTGAACTTGAATTATAGTTCTCGACGAGGATGCAAATAGAGCTCTCGACTCCCTGTTTTAAACGACAAATATCTATAAAATAGGGTTACCGAAACGTGTCGATTAAAAGCACGCAAGTTACAGTCGGAAAATATCGAAACAATGCAAAGGAACTAGTTGAAACATGCAACAAGTCGTATTAGTACAAGTATTTCGTAAAATCTTTAATATTGTATCGTTTAATTCTCAAAATTGTGAGATTCAATTGAAGTCCGATTTGAGAAACCAATTGCTCCGCGACCGAATGTTTTCAACGTCGACTGTATTCGTGTAGAAACTGTCGGATCCCAGTGATTTTGCAAGCTGCTTCAGATGTAAAACGACACACAACGAAATCTTGCGAGGACGATAAATTGCAGAAGAGGAGTGGCGTCATAATGATAGAATCGCAAATGCAGATAAGTGCAAGATTGTTCTTAAATAATAATTGATCCACAAACTCGAACAATTGATCGTCCAAGTTTTTCGTAATTCAAACAGAAACAAGTGAAAAGTTTCTCGTTTATTCGTTAAGGGCGATCGTCATTTAGATAAGAATTTTGCTCGTCTCGCGAAAAAGTGATCGTGCGTGCGAACAGGTAGAATTCAAACGGAGGAAGAGGAAGAAAATCAGTGGGAGGGTGGGGGTCGGAACGGTTGGCAGCACCGGCGCTCCAAGAAACATAGCCCCGCGCCTCTGCCCTCGGTCCCGCATCGCTAGTGCCAGTTTTCTTTCGGAAGGGCTCCAGACAAGAGGTGTAGAAGGGGGTCGGGGTAAAGAAGTCGAAACGAAAGAATTTCGTGCCCGATTACGGGACCGATCGCGTACGAAACGAAGCGATAAGGGACAGGTGACGTTGAATCGCGTGGAATTTTAATGGGCGGGAGTAAACGAGGAAAGACTGCGTATGCTGTGAAGTCGCGCATCGGAAAGTAGGTTCGATTCGGCAGGCATAAGAAGAAGTAAGAAGGAGGTAGGAGAGTGGCGGAGCGTATATAGAGGAAAGAGGAAGAAAAAAAAAAGAGGTGTGCGAGGACGCGTTCACGTAGTCGCGTGAGAGAGGTGAGGGCAACGGCGGCGTGGTGAAAGCCGCGGTGAACCGGAGAAAAAAAGAAATTCGGCGGTAACCGGTAGCACCGAGGCTACCAAGGTGTTCCGGAGCGCAGCAGCAGCGGCCCAGGATGCTGCCCGACGGAGCAAGAAGATGGCCGTGATCGGCGAGCATAGGTGTTACGCGGCGATCCGTGCGAACCCGTACACGGAGTTCTCGTGTCGCAGGCTCGAGGCAGTGACACCCAGGTCGCCGTCCTCCTCGTCCTCGACGTTGTCTTCTCATCGCCGTCGACAGAGAAAAAAACCACCGCATTTACCTGGACGGCTAGCCATGTCCTCTTCACGGGGCAGCGGCCCGGAATCGGGGGACCTCAGCGACTACGAGGACGGTTACCTGGACACAGATCCTGTAAGGTACGAATTGAGAAATATACAAAACGTGATACACGTTACACGTCAGAACATTGATGCATTGAACAACCGTTTCGCTGGATTTCAACATCCACCTTCGATATACTTGAACGAATATCAAGAGTTGACCAGCAAGTTACACGATTTAGAATCCAAGGAACAGAAGCTCAACGAATTGATGAACGCGAGTATGGTATCAGGCAGTGCTTCCACATCAGAGAGCGAATCCCGTGAAGTTAATGTAAGCAGTAGAGGTCAAAGGACGCCGATGAGGTCTTTGCTCAGAGCTCATTTACCTAATCAACAGCGTACCAGTGTACAGGTTCGCGAAGGACTATCTTTAAGAGATGCGCTTGCCAAAGCAATGAAATTAAGAAATCTAACCACCGAAATGTGCGTGGTATATATTTTGGGTGTGGATAAGTCCAAGTTCCTGACGTCTTGGGACACGGATATCTCTTTATTGGATTGCGATGAAATATCTGTGGAAATTTTGGACAAGTTCCCTATAACTACTTCCATTTCACATAACTTTGTTCGTAAGACTTTCTTTTCGCTTGCATTCTGCGAATATTGTAGAAAACTGCTCTTTCAAGGATTTTATTGTAGAACGTGCAACTATCGTTTCCATCAAAGGTGTGCAGGTGGTGTACCTGCCTTGTGCCATCAAGTACGCATGCAAGATGTTTATTACCAAGCATTATTGGCGCACAATCTTGAAAGTACTGCTGGGATTTTGCAGCTTCCTTCTGGTTATGGTTTGAGCAGGACCATATCTCCCTCTCTGGCACCTTCGAGAAGTAGGAGACATCCACGTTCCTTGGGACAGCAAGATCGTTCCAGTTCTGCACCTAATGTTTGTTTTAATATGGTCAAACCAAGCGGAGATGCTGCTAATTTAGACGAATACAGTAGGTCTCAGAGTTTAGGTCGCCCTATTGGCATCACTCAGAGCGCAATATCTCCTGGTAGTAGCCCTACGAAACATAGTCAGTCTACTCAGGCTAGTCCTACGAGTACTTTGAGGCCAAAACGACCAAGAGCGAGATCAGCTGACGAATCGTCTAAAAATTTTCTGGCGCCTAGAGAATCTATAGAAGATTGGGAAATTCCACCAGACGAGATTTTAATTGGACTCAGAATTGGGTCAGGTTCTTTTGGAACGGTATATAAAGCTCACTGGCATGGACCTGTAGCTGTAAAAATGCTTAACGTTAAGATACCTACTGCTGCTCAGTTACAAGCATTTAAAAATGAAGTTGCAGTTTTGCGTAAAACACGGCACGTAAATATTCTTTTGTTTATGGGATGCGTTAGCAAACCACAACTTGCGATTGTTACTCAATGGTGCGAAGGATCTTCGTTGTATAAACATTTACATGTATTCGAAACCAAGTTCGACTTGTTCACATTGATAGAGATTGGAAGACAAACTGCCCAGGGTATGGACTATTTACATGCAAAAAATATCATTCACCGTGATTTGAAAAGTAATAATATATTTCTACACGACGACCTCACTGTGAAAATTGGTGATTTTGGTCTGGCCACTGCAAAGACCAGATGGTCTGGTTCCCAGCAATTCCATCAACCGACTGGATCTATTTTGTGGATGGCACCAGAAGTAATAAGAATGCAAGAAGAAAACCCATACAGTTTTCAATCCGATGTTTATGCATTTGGGGTTGTTTTATTTGAATTATTAGCTAGTCAGTTACCGTATTCGCATATTAATAACAAGGATCAAATATTGTTTATGGTTGGACGTGGCAATTTGCATCCCGATTTAAACAAATTACGTTCGGACACTCCAAAAGCATTGAAAAGACTGACAGAGGATTGCATCAAATTTTCCAGAGAAGAGCGACCAATATTTCGTCAGATCTTAGCCAATTTAGAAGGTCTTGCTCGAGGATTACCGAAAATTACGAGATCGGCATCCGAACCAAACTTAAACAGGACGCAGCTACAATCGGATGACTTTGTATACACCTGTGCTTCGCCAAAAACTCCAGTGAATTTCCAGTTTGGAGCATTTTCTTTTTATCCTTCCGGTGGAAATATATAAAAATATCACCCGAAGCAATGAGTCTGATGCAATTTACGTAAATTAAATATTTAAAGGATCTAAAGAAAAAAAAAATCGTAATACACCTAGCTACGAACAATCTACGTAATTCTTTCCAACTAAACTTTGACTGTGCCGCAATTGTTTGCTCGATGTAGAATGTGATTATAAAATACTTAATGCAAATAAGACGGAAGGAACAGAAGTCCATCTTATGAATCGACGTATATGATGTATCTCATGGCATGAACGTGTAGCTTTTATCTTTACATACTTACTATCTATGCCAGGAATTTTTATTTGATGAGTTCTATCGCTCGTGTATAAACACATTCATAAACATGTATATACACGCGTGCGTTGATGTAGAAGTCTCTTCCCTTTTGTGGAATCCTTACGAAGGATGTAAAAATAAAGTAAGTAATAGATGTAACGGCATTTAATTCGCGTTGGCCGTCGAATTTGTTTGCGAAATATTTTTGCAAAGACCGAAGTGATTTTTGTACCTACTTCCTTCGTGAATTGTCTTGAATATGCTCACATAAGAATTGTTCCTTTACGTAATTTATAATTTATAGTCTAATGTTAGAATGTACATAAGTTTCATTGAATCTATCTAAAATTACGTTTGCTTTATATCGATTATCTCTTTTTTTCCTTAGTATTTCTTTTCCATACTAATTATATTCGACTGACGTTGTTATTATTATTATTATTATTTTTTTTTTTTTTAACGCAATTGCATCCATAAGGTAAACAAAAACACTTTGTTCAGAGGTACCAAAAGCTCTAATTCATTAGATCGTAACGAATAAATATCATAACGAATGAAAGTGAAAGTCAAATAAAAAGTGATGTGCATACTTAGTTTTCGACTTCGAGACTTTATCGATAATACGAACTGTATCATACGAATCATTTGCGAGTCATTTATTTTGGCTTAAAGTAATCCGAGGTATGTCACAAATCAAGGCCTAAGTCTGTTTAATTTTCATCGACGAGATGTAACGGTTCGTCCCGTTACAATCAAACGAAAAGGTAAAATAATAATCGAACTTTAACGTAGCAAACACCGACGACTTTATCAAACTAACTTCCACCATATCCTAACTTTATAGTCGACTTATTGTTCCTCGTATTTTGATATTTATTAATCTTTACCGTTACCTTTTGTAAGTTCTTTTTCACCGGTTCGAGACTCGCGATGCAGGAAGGGGCGCGAACTTCACTTCGATATCGACCGATTACAAAGTATTCGTTACGTACCATCGAAGAGTTGATTTACACGTGACGGACTCTCGAGCTTTTTGTCACGATTAGAGCGTGTTTCAGACAGAGATGGGCAAAATTTGTGATCTAGAAAGAAAACATACTTGAATGCGTTATATTCGTTCAATGAAATTTGCAATCAAAGTATATTTAATGTTGAGCAATCGTTGCGAATAAATGGCTATATACAGAGTTTTTATTCCTCGTCGATTATTCGAATCAAATTCTGCCCATCTTTGGTTTCAGGTAATGGCCCGACGAGCGGTAAACATAAATATAGAGGAAACGTGCACGGTTTATGAACGTCATCAGTGTTCAGGATAAACAAAAAAAAAAAAAAAACAAAAAAATTATACGATAACAAATGTTGCTTCTTCTATGACGTTTTGCGTCATTGATCCTCGTGATTCTATCGTCTGTCGATCGAGGCACGTTTCCGGAGTATAAAAAAAAAGGCCTAACAGCAAATCTTCGAAATTCGCTAGTTAGAACGAGTGATCCTTATTTCTAAAGCATCACGTGGCATCTCCCGATTTATTATTTATTTATTTATGCGTAATTCTCGGTGTGACGAACTGCGATTGAAGCAAGGAAAAATGTAGAAAAACGTGAATTGAAAAACAACTGATAGGTTTACGACGACTCATCGAAAGCGAGAGATATAGAAGAAACCAGAGATGGGACATTTTATTTCGAATAATACTTTCATTCGTTATTCCGACGTTTTAACTAGATAACAATTTTGCCCATCTCTAGCGAGAACTGAGAATCGTAGAAGAGCGTTCGAGTGTGCAAAAAGAAAAATGAATGAAAAAGAATAAAGTTGGGTGTTCGAATGACTTAGAGTAAATTTTTATTTAGATAACCATCCGACAACAAGATTCTTATTCGTTATTCGTCAATTGATGTATTCGTTGGCGACGGATACAGGTTTACTTGGATAAAGTTGTATGCGTAACTCGCGAATAAAAGTTTATTTGGATAAAGCGTTGTTCATTATCTGGATAAAAATTTGCCCAACTCCGAATGAGAGAACGATCCGACGAGTGTGTTAACCGTACCAAATTGACGCACTCGTCTTCGTTAACGACGCCTTCTCGTAACAAGGAAACAGCGAACCGTGAGGTATAATTAACGATTGTTAAAAGAATATCTCGAAATGGACGAAAAGATGCGAGACAGGAGAAAAAGGGAATGTTGCGATGCGTGCGGGACAGCCCTTAATTAAACTTTTTCCGAAAATAAAAGGAAAGCCATCGAAAGAAACTAGTAATAGCTGTGAAATGTATTACAATTGCATTATATAATGTAGAGAAGCCGACAATCTATTTCTGCGTTCACATTTTTACTCGTTTCTCAATTACGACACGTATCTTTTTCTGGCCAACAGGTCTCTACGTTTCTACAAGTGTCATTATCCTGAATCAGTCACTTGAAATACATATTTATTTTCGATTATTGTAGTTTAATTTTATCGCATTCACTCGTGTTTAACGATGCATATTCATCGCGGAGAGAGTATTCAAGACGACACGTGTAACCGTGACAATGTACGTTGTTAAGAATTCATTGAAAAAAATTCAAATTTTTAGGTTAAATTCAATTACGTCAATGATTAAGGGTTATGACTCTACGTAGAAGAAAGAACTTGCAATTTTCGCGATCGATCTTACTATATACATCGTTGTCGTTGTCGATCGAATGCATTTTGTGTCGACTCTGAATATCGACGAACTGAAATCATGAAATACATTTGTATTCGATACAACTTTGTAGATATTTGACCATAGACTACTCGTGCTAAAATGACCACAATTCGTGTTTCTATTTATTATTACTCGTTGGAACGTTTTCGACCTCGTTCCAGGCCATTGTCGATAAATTGATTCTATAATTTGTTGAGCATACATTTTAAAGATAATAAAGTAGCAGCAATAAATTTCCGGGAATCAAATCATGTATGTGAGGAGCTATCGAACGTTGAATGACTATTTTTTCTTGAATTCTGTCACGAATTTCAAAACGGATCCGACACAAAAAAACGATCGAACGAAATTTTTCGTTTGATTGACAGACGACAAGTCGCGTTATCGTAATAGGATTTCGGCTTCGTTTTGGTCGAATCGCGTCGAAGCTGCTGACAACTGAAAAGTGTGTCTTGTAACGAGATGGCGTGGGCTGAGATTGGAGATACTTAATTCAATCGATCGCAATGACCGATTGATCATTGTATTCAACCAAAAAAAAAAAAAGAAAAAAAAATGAAATATAAATAAAGAAAAATTGACTCTTCATGTAACGAGTCTCGTTTTTTCTCTACGTAGTTATATCTAGACTAGTGTTCTTCAAAGTGGGGGGCGCAACCTCTAGATGGGGTTCTTAACAATTCAAAGAGGGCGCTTGAACAGAACGCTTTCTATACAGAAAAATGTAGATAATTTAGATATCTGTTTGTATTAATGCATTGATCGATGAAGTTTATCGACTGTAGGAGTATATTTTTCTTTTAACATTTTAATCTCTTTCAGGGACAAAATGCTTTGTATAAAATAAACAAAAATTGTAATCCATATCGACCCATCGTATCTGAGGGCTTGAACGGTCACCAAAATTTCATTTTAAGGTTAACAGAGATTGATTATTATTATTACGAGCAGTGCTTAAATAGTTATCGATTGAACCAAAATATATTAATTCAAGAGCCACTTGGAAAGAATGAAAGGGTATTACTGCCCTAGATATGCTCTTCTATTAAGAGACATATTTTATCTAAAAAAAAAAAAGAAAAAAAAAGGCAATATATAAAATTACACTTTTTAATCGAGTAAAAATGTATGTACGATTCACCAAGAAGATTACTTTATTTTACAATTGATCGAGTATAGTCAAGTTGTTTACTTTCGACGTTTGCACTCAATCATTTTAATTTGTCAGTCTGACGCTGGTGTTATGCATAATGTTTGCCGAACGTTTGCGTGTGGCATCGAATAATAGATATACAATTGACGTAACTAAGAATTATTTGACTTCATAGTACAATACAATTTGCACTGGAAACGTTAGTGGAAAGGTAGATAATAAGTAGACTACGGATCTTGATGCATTTATAGGAAATTTGAATGTGCAAGAAACTACAAAATGTAAACAATATGGAAGAATATAAAAAAGATTGAAAGTAAAGTTCATGTTATAATATTTGCAGAATAAAATAAATTCCTATTTAGATTGAATTTTTTGTAGGCACGTTCACGAAGATTTTATTTTGCATAAAGATCCGCAGTCTGATAATAAGTATCGCTATCTAATCCACAGAATACGTGAGTACTATAGAACGATGGCAGCCGTAGCGTAATCATGAAAACTAAGAATCCCTGTGGGAAGGTCGTGACATCGTGGAAAACATTGGTAATCCTCTCTGAGGTTCTCTCACTCCTCTTCTCTTTACGCTAACCTCGAAACCTAATCCGCCTATGAATCCCAGATTAACTCCTCCAGCGTATCCGCGTTTTCGTAAAATATTTCAGATCGTTATCGTAGATGATCTAATCTTTGTACGTATTCCAACTTCGATAATAGTTAACCCGATCAAAGTTACCGATCCAACCTGTAGATTACACTTTTTACTTTCACGAAAAAGTTCTCGCGATCCCCAATTTGAGAAACGCTGAAATATTCGAATTCCTATAAATAATCGATAAGAAAATTTATATCATTTCTCGAAGATGATCTAATTTGCATCGCGAGCGACCTGGAGACCCCGCGTGTAAGTGAATTCACCCCCGCAAAGGAATATAGTTCATCACAGGTAGATTTATCCATGCACCGTGTGTGCGTGTGTGCGTAACAGAAGGTAGTGGCCAACGCACACGTATACGTTAGCTTAAATCAACGCCATAAGTGCATGAGTACTTGTTGTTTCGATATACATGTATATACGCACACATCGGTAGGGTGTACGGAGGGAGCGCGCATGCGCAAATCCAGCTGGCGCCTCGACCGGCTGAATAGTCGATGCTGGAACCTCGGAGTGCGAGTGTCTGTGTTTCTTCGTCCTTTGCGTTTCGTTGTCGTGAATTCATACGCGAATATAATTCGCGTACGTATACGTGCACACGGTAGAGAGCCTGGTTACGTACGATTGTCGTGAACAGGTGGACGTCGAGGTCGCTCGCCTTCCTGCGCGGAACGAGGTTAGTTGACTTCGAATCGAATTTCGGGCAACACGTCGTCTCTAAAGGGGAACGACATCGCGTTCAAAAAGTTCGCTCTCGTGAAAAACGACGCTTCTGTTTTGTCTACGTCGTCGATCGCGCGAGTGTTGACACCGTACCCATGGGGGGGACAAGGATAACATAACGATCAAGTTCGATTTGCATTTTTCGCGTGTGATACCCGATCGTCGAGATATATTGGACGAGAATAGTATCGCGTGGTACCGGAGATTGCACGAGTTCCTCGAGAATCCAGTGTTGGTGTTACATTTTCCCCATATCCGAGAGAAGAATATTCACGGGTGAAAATTTGAATAGTGGGGTGCCTGTTCTGCAGGGTCTGGTATCAGGGCACGTTCGTGCATTGACAGAATCGAATCGCGTTGACCGCATTTCAGCAAACAGTGAATCGAAATAAATCAAACAAACAAACGTTTCAATCTACATGTTGAAGACTCTTTAGTAGCAGTTTGATTCGTTTAATCCGATACTACGATAGAATAAAAAACATCGAGGAACGAGGGAAACTTCTGTCAATGTAATAATTAAGAGGTACATGCACAAGTTATCGTACCAATCATTATTTATTTCCTTCTTTTTACCTATAATCATATAATTGTCTTCGAGTCATTGTTTCGCATGCAAGTATTAGGTTGTCCCGAAAGTTTCTTTCGTTTTATTAATAATTAATATATACATAATATTTTATGTCACATTACTGAATTGTGTACGATTCATTTCGCTTCATTACTGTTACAGCATCAATGTCCTAAGAAATTAGATTGTGTATTTATATAAACGCTGCCACACGAAATAATTGAATGCAACTCACGGAAGAAACTTTCGGGGCAACCTAATATTTCAGTTTACCAGTGGAAACGTTTATCGTTAAGAAAGTTCGATTGCTCGCGATGGTTTTCTTTTATTTATTCGAGGCAAGCAAACTTGGCCACTGGTTCGTTTCAGCGAATCCATCGACATGGAAGTCTTTTGTCTTCTCGCGTCGGATGAGAATGACCTATCGGATCGAAAACTTTGTTATTGGGATCGATAAGCGTTGATTACGGTATCGCGTAATTACGATAAATACAACACGAAGTCTGATTAACCGTGAAGATATTGTGTGTACTATGATCGACGTGTATCGAGCCTGTTCAGCGAAAGAAACATTTTACAATAACGCAATACGATCGCTAATTAATCGTGTCCGACAGAAAATCAAAGTAGATGTCGTTGTCCAGAAAATAGGAAAGCGAGATCGTAGCTGATACGCCTCGTAACGTGGTCATGACCGACTTTTTTTATCGATTTTCGAGAAGATTGATCTTTCTGGGATGATTATCAATTTCAAATTATTCCCTCGCGGAGATCGATCGTTTTTCACGTAGGGATTGTTGTTCTTGTTGCAAGCATTTTTTTTTTTTTCGACGTATCTACGTGTCTCATTGGACCGCTCGTGAAAAATAATTGGACCGTTCGCGAGATTAAATAACATTCCCCGTTAAGCACCGTTGCCAAACAGTATCTGCCAATTGCAGGGAATGACCATCTCCAAGAATTACTATCTTTAGACTCGCTGCCATTGAATAAACCGCTGATAAACAATATTTCAGACCGTCCTTATAATTAATCTCTTTTTCGCATCGCGTCTTACGTGTAACTAGAGTTTCAACCGATTAATTTTGCACGAGACGATTTTTCTGCAAATCTATTTTGATCATCTCCATTTAAAAAACAATTTCTCTCTTATCAGAATATCGAATTAACACTTTGCCGATGGGTAGCGTGTTAATCGTCGCATCGTAGATTACGAAAACGTTTCTAATAGACAAAATAAGTATTGCACGATAAAGCAAGAAATATCGTTGAATTTGTAAAGTGTACAGCGTTAATGTCCCCGTGTAATTACCGCGAACAGTGTGTACTTGGCTGAAATATAATCGGTAGTTGCTTTCTCTTTGTAATTGTAATTCGATATTTCGACGTTTTGTTTGGCGAGCATGTTTGAAACAAACCTGCGGTTTCGTCGCGCGACACACTTTTAAGGGAAAAGTTATTCCGATGATACTTTGAGCCAGTTTCCCCCTTCGAGAAGGAAGGAGACTTTTTCTAGTTGAACGCGCGCACGGTATCGCGAACGACGTTCTTATCGAAAGGAATTTCGATAATACGGACTATCCATCGACGAAGCCTGCCTTCCGTTCATTTTTTGACGAAGATTGCGCGCAGAGGTTAGGAGGCTAGCTT